GCCGTGGGATTTTCTCCGGGTGCTCCGATTTCCTCCCACGTGTAACATAAACAACTCATTAATTAATTGGCTGAAAACATATATACATACACTGAGCTATGTAGCTCCTTGTTTTCCCTAAGCGACCTGTCCACGAACGACAGCTCAGCGAAGCGTCTCCTTTCCACGTGGTCATTCAGAGCAGCAGTCAAATACTCTAAACGCGGAGAGAAAAATCCACGCGACCACGTGGAGAGCGGGACACGTGAACTCCATTATCCAGCAGGCATCAGGGTCGGGATCGAACCCAGGACCTCGTGCGTATTCGGCGAGGGAGTTAACATCTCCCAGCCACCACAGCGCCCCCCAATGTGGCAGCAGCAACCCCCATGAATACGAATCACGCGACTCTGTGTGCCGCTCTTGGTTCAAAAAGAAAAGCAGTTCTTGTTTTCATTTCTTTTCTACGTATAATTTACAAGCGCGTTTTCAATCAACTGTTGGATGAAGGTCGCTCCACCACGTGTGGGTCGTGGGGGGGGGGGGGGTCAGTTGCGTGAGTGTGGATGAAGCCCGTCGGAAGAGGCTCTGCGGCATCTGCTTCCGCGGGCCACTCTCGACGCACTGCACGTGGCGATGATTCTTCCGGGCAAGATTCGTCTCAGGTTGACGTCACCCGGGGGTGGGTGTGGGGGGAACAGGTGGGAGCAATGCGCGAACGAAAACGGAAAATCACCACAAGAAACCGTTTGTGAAATTCAATATAAGTGGTAACTCTTTATGAATCTGCAGGTCTTTAAAAAAAAACACTCAAAACATCACAAAATTACAGCTCCACCGACGCGCACACACATGCACACATCGCAATAGACGTTGAGTGTGCGTGCATGCGTACGCCACCACGATCATCATCATCATCACCATCAAGTCGCAATATCTACACGTGCCAAGCGGGGAGGTGACCCATTCTGTTTCAATTAAACTGGCTCAAAATAGCCACTTGCTTTGCCGACTTGAACGTAAAACACCCTAGACCTAAACAAAAAAACAAACTTGGAGCGAATATTTTTAGTTTACTTTTGATAAAATATGAATATTAATTGTCAATTCTGAGCAAGTGTTCATTTTCCTAAATACAAAACAATCAAACGATCGTAGACTTCTTTGGTCGTGTAATTATTGATATCGCATCTTGCAAACACTGGAAGGACATCGCGCGCGCGTGTGTTGTGTGTGGGGAGCGGTAGTGTAGTGGTTAGCGCTACGCTGCGCTATGAACCTGGCTACCCGGGTTCCGATTCCCGCTCACGGCCAACACCAGCGACGGTTATCCGAACCGGTCCTGGGCTTCCCCAAGGTCGACTCAGCCTCAAATGAGTACCTGGTGCGATATGTAAACATCGCCACTGGGGAGACAAAGGCGGCCGGGCGTGTTTGCTGGCCACCCACCCCCTCACATGCTGTGCCGGCCTCCATAGATGCTCGTTAACAGTCTGTTACAGCCCATACGGGGGTGTGCGGGGGATCTTTGTCTTTGTGTTAGGTTACAGGTGCTCTAGGGAGCGGTGGTGCTGTGGTTCGCGCTACCCTGAGCTGCGATCCCGGGAGCGACACGAGTTCCATTCCCACTCACCGCCTCCAACACCGGCGGCGATTATCCGAACCGGTCCTGGGCCTCCGCGAGGTCGGCTCAGCCTCGAATGAGAACCCGGTGCGGTCGTGTGTAAACATCGCGACTCGGGAGACAAAGGCGGCCGTGCGTGGCGCTGGCCACCGACTCGGCCCTCATGGTTGCCGCTCGCTGCCCGCTGCGCCACCGCTGCCCGCTCACCTGTGCCCGCGAGTGCGGCACGTGCAGGCAAGGCGGCACGTGCAGGCAAGGCGGCACGTGCAGGCAAGGCGCCACGCTGCCTACAGATCAACATCTCCCTCTTGGCTTTGACCACCGCCTCATGCTTTTTTAGGCTCATTCGTTAACACTGATTGGTACAAAAAAAAACAACAAATAGCAAATTGCACTTTGACTTGATTAAGAACATCAAACAATGACATACACGTGTAAAACATGTCGATATATATTTAAAAACGAAAACGCGCAAACGTGTGCTGGTCGGGCGGGTAGCAGCATTTCTTGCCGCTCGAGTGGTCGCTGAACGTTCGATCATCATCGGTTATTGATGATCGATTACAAGTGGAGCTGCCGCAGTGTGTGGTGACGGTCAGCAGTAGCAGCAGCAGCAGCAGCACAGGAGACTCGCAACGCAGAGTTCGCAGGTTCGATTCCATCTCCTGGCTCGGCAGTCGAAACAATTCGGCGAGTTTCTTAACATCACCCACCAACCCGCGCAGCCATCAACAGGAAATAAATCGACTCACACGAGTTAGTGCATCGTCAGGTCCACGTGCGTTAGGGTAGTGTGAGTGGATACTGCCACCGCTTGCAACACGTGTGGCCAGCATGGAAGAGTAGGCCAAATACCGTCCACCGGAGGTGCTGTTTTGAAGCTCCCTCTCAGTGGATGTCCATCTGCCAGCGGCGGCGTGAGTGGGGCATTGCAGGGCCGCGCCTTTACCACGGCACGCGCGCGTGAAATCGCATTGCGTCCGCGTGCCTCCCTCGGGCGAGCCACTTGGAGGGTGCTGGGTTGTTTTTGTTCCTGCATCTTGAGGCGTGATGCCAGCGCCTCTCTCTCTCTCTCTGCTGGGACGCGCGTTGGGAGCGGTCCCCGTGGGTCGCCAGACCCACGGGGAAGAGAAGATCTAAAACTAGAAGGGCAGAGTGGGTGGGGAGGGATAAACTGTCTGGGGAGACCTATGGGTCTCTGTGTGGGTCTATGCGTCTCTGTGTGTGAGTCTTTGTCTCTGTGTGAGTTTATGGGTCTCTGTGTGAGTCTGTGGGTCCCTGTGTGAGACTGTGGGTCTCTGTAGTGAGTCTATGGGTCTCTGTGTGTGAGTCTTTGTCTCTGTGTGAGTTTATGGGTCTCTGTGTGAGTCTGTGGGTCCCTGTGTGAGACTGTGGGTCTCTGTGTGAGTCTGTGGGTCTCTGTGTGAGTCTTTGGGTCTCTGTGTGTGAGTCTTTGTCTCTGTGTGAGTTTATGGGTCTCTGTGTGAGTCTGTGGGTCCCTGTGTGAGACTGTGGGTCTCTGTAGTGAGTCTATGGGTCTCTGTGTGAGTCTTTGGGTCTCTGTGTGTGAGTCTTTGTCTCTGTGTGAGTTTATGGGTCTCTGTGTGAGTCTGTGGGTCCCTGTGTGAGACTGTGGGTCTCTGTAGTGAGTCTATGGGTCTCTGTGTGAGTCTATGGTTCTCTCTGTGTGAGGAGGAGTAGGTTAGAGAGTATGATGCTGATGATTATGATGTCACCACCATCATCATCATCACTTGGTAATTGAGACGCGGTTTTCATGCAGACGCTGTGTAAATTTCAAATCGCACTTGTAACCGTACGTCCGTACGTTCCTTCGTAGGTTCGTCACGACGCTACACGAAACAAAGCATACATGGTAATAATACAACAGCGACGAGTGGGGATTCTCAACATTGGGTCCCGGCGAAATCACAGAGCTGCCGCACAGATGGAGCGCTGACGCGCGCGGTGATGCTGCTGGTGGTGTGGGTGTTGTTGAGTGGGGTGTTGTTGGGAATGGTGATTGTTGAGTGGGGTGTTGTTGAGTGGGGTGTTGTTGGGAATGGTGATTGTTGAGTGGGGTGTTGTTGAGTGGGGTGTTGTTGAGTGGGGTGTTGTTGAGTAGGGTGTTGTTGAGTGGGGTGTTGTTGGGAATGGTGATTGTTGAGTGGGATGTTGTTGAGTGGGGTGTTGTTGAGTGGGGTGTTGTTGAGTGGGGTGCTGTTGAGTGGGGTGTTGTTGAGTGGGGTGTTGTTGAGTGAGGTGTTGTTGAGTGGGATATTGTTGAGTGGGGTGTTGTTGAGTAGGGTGTTGAGTAGGGTGTTGAGTAGGGTGTTACTTAGAAGGGTGTTTGTCGAGAAAGGTGTTTGTCAGGAAGGGTGTTGTTGAGAAGGGTGTTGTTGAGAAGGGTGTTGTTGAGTAGGGTGTTGTTGAGAATGGTGATTGTTGAGTGGGGTGTTGTTGAGTGGGGTGTTGTTGAGTGGGGTGTTGTTGAGTATGGTATTGTTGAGTAGGGTGTTGAGTAGGGTGTTACTTAGAAGGGTGTTTGTCGAGAAAGGTGTTTGTAAGGAAGGGTGTTGTTGAGAAGGGTGTTGTTGAGTAGGGTATTGTTGAGAAGGGTGTTGCTGAAAAGGGTGTTTGTCGAGAAAGGTGTTTGTCAGGGAGGGTGTTTAGATCAGGAGTGTTACTCTGCAGTAATCTAATGGACGGAACAAAGCACGCAGCCCGATCCTCCGATCACATTCCGCATCCCCAGATCGCGACGGGACGAGAAGCGTCGACGTAACAACAACAACAACCACTACCACCCTGTTGACACAAGAAGCGGTGTGACGCGCGTGTGCCACACGAGTTTCACGCGGAGTTCACACGAACAAAACACGTTTTCTTTGGCAAATCTCACCAAACAAAGATTACGGTGTGAAGTTGCGACAGATGCTGCCGCTGCCGCCGCTGCTCGCCCTTTTGAGTTTTGTGTTCCGTTCCAAGGAATGGCTCCCTGTTAAACCTTTCCGCGTTTGAATCTCACTTTGTGTCCGTATGTAATGAACAAAAACAAAGGCAAAGACCCCACCGTATAGGCTTTAAGAAACTGTTAGGGCAAGTGCTGTTAGCGAGCACCTATGGAAGGCCGGAACGGTACACGAGGGGGTGGGGAAGGCCAGCACCACGCCCGACTGCCTTTGTCTCCCTAGTGGTGATGTATTACACATTGCACCAGGTACTCATTTGAGGCTGAGTCAACGTAGGGGAGGCCCAGGACCAGTTAACATAATCGTCACTGGTGTTGGCCGTGAGCAGGAATGAAACTCGGGTCGCCAGGTTCATAGCGCAGGGCGCTCACCGCTACACTACCGCTCCCCCACACACTCACATATATATACAGGATGGCCCAAAAGGTTCAGAACCCACAGGGTTATTTCATTAAAATATCGAATTTATTCCGTAAGTTAATATGTGATTTGTTATCAATATTAATATTTATTTTTCCTCCTCTCCCTCCTCCTCCGGATGGCATTTAAAAATTCAAAGAAAATTAACTAAAGATGAGCGAGTTCAATTCAGTTTGTATATGTGCGTGCGCGTGTTTGCAAAAGAAGGCAGCCGTAATATTTTCATATGAAAAAAAATAATTCCAAAGAGAATTCGTGCATCCGTGCATGGAAGTCAGTTTGAACATTTGTAAGGAGACGTAAAAAGCAGCCCCGCTATGAATTGTCAAAATAAATATAATTACCCTATGTGTCCCGTCTTTTTGGGCCACCCCGCATACACGTAGTACATTTTACGTCTAATATTGTTATTCATATTATTAATAATAATAATGATAATATAATCAGAACCGTCTCTTGCTTAGGACACCGTAGAGCTGCATCTCTCTCGAGTCCCCGCGAAGCGTCGAGCGTCCACACCCGGCGTTCGTTGCCTGGCGCTTGCCTCGCTAGGTGACCGTGGTCGCGATGACCGCACGGTTCTTGTTTCGTTCTTCCGCGTCAAGAGTATTTTACGATTTCACGTTCCCGCGGGCGGTACGGGCGACCCCGGACGCGGTGCGCCGGGTGCGGAAATATTTTTCCAGGGTCGACGGTCCGGACGGACAGGACCAGCGCTGAAGCGAAACCTTCCGTTGGCGCCCGACGTTTCCAGACGGACGACAGCGTCTCCTTCCGTGCCTTGGCCCGGCCACCAGCTGACGAGACACCCGACGTCGACACCGGCCCCGCAGCTTTCGCTCGTGTCCCAATCATCGTTGATCCCGGAGGAATCCGGTGAGCTATGAAGCTCTTTTCCACGGACGTCCAGCAGGAAGCGCTGCGGCTGCCAACGCAGGGGAGTTGCGCTTCGCAGGATGGGGGTGGGGGGGGCGGGGGGGGGGAAGCGCCGCTGCCGGAACGTCACGAATCAAGAAACTTCGGCTCTCGCCGCGGAGAGCGACTGGGGACTACACCAGGGTCATCGCGCACCAGAACCCGTGTCGCGCGCCCTCCGACCCCGCGTCGTGCTGCTCCGACAACACCTGCTGGTGCTGCTGCTGGTGATGGTGCTGCTGCTGCTGCTGCTGGTGATGCTGGTGATGCTGGTGGTGGTGATGGTGGGGCTGATGCGGTTGGTGATGGGTCGGCGCCGACGGCGAGAGGTTCCTCCGCTGCACCGCCGTCGCCACCGCGTGCATGGCCAGCGCGCCCGAGCGCGGGCTCTGGACGCCGGCCACGGGAGAGGCCGGGGATGAACCCTGCCGGGAGACACAGCGACGGTCGGCGTGGCTCACCCGTGAGACGGCCACGGAGATGACGGTGGAACAACGATGGCCGGGGTGGGATTTGTTTTGTTTTGCTGGAAGGTATACACGTGCGTGAGTGCGGGATTTGCGTGTGTTTTATTATTGGCGTGAGGAGCGGTGGTCATAGCGGTTAGCGCGCCGCTCTACGAACCCGGCGACCCGAGTTCGATTCCCGCTCATGGTCAACACCGGTGATGATCTCAACTGGTCCTGAGCCTCCCGTGGGCCCGACTCAGCCTCAAATGAGTACCCGGTGTGGTGTGTAAACATCGTCACTGAGAAGACAAAGGCGGCCGGGAGTGGTGCTGGCCACCCACCCCCTCGTGTGCCATGCCGGCCTTCATAGGTGCTCGATAACGGCACTTGCCCCAACAGTCTGTGAAGGCTACGCAGTGGGGGGGGGGGGGAGGAGGGATCTTAGTCTTTGGTGGTGGACGCTGTACCTGTGTGGCGTTGGGCGAGCTGTACCCGGACGTGCCCAGGCCTGGGTCCATCTTGATGAGGGCGATTGGCTCCGTGGGGGTCGCTCCCTTCCCCGTGCCGACTCCCAGCTCCCCCGCCTGACCCGGCCCTGGGAAACGAGGGAGGGTGATGTCACGTCGAAGCGTTAACCTCCAGACAGGACCGTGGGCTTCACGTGGCCGCGACAGATGCCAGCCATGCTGGCCCGAAGCCTTCGTCCAGCAGTGGATAGAGCCTGACCGAGAGCCGTTTATTGCGTCCGCACACAGGGAGGCTGATGGTGGTGATGGCACTGATGATAGCGATGATGATGACGTTGATGATGATAATGATGATGACGGTGACGATACAGGATCTGTGCGGTGGATTGTATGTTAGGTATGCGTATTGAACTTCTTTCACACTGTATAGGATCTCACCCGGATGGGGCTTGCACTTGTTGGGGTTCTTTGGTTTGCGTTTACGCGTCTGGATTCCCTCCTTCTTCATGGCGAGGGGCCGCGGGACCTGGAGTCACAAACGGGACGCAGTGGTAATCAGAATGTTTTATACGCGAGGAATCTGATGAGCTCTGAAGCCCTTCATCACAGATGTCCAGGAGTGGCCAATGCCGGAGGCTCGCTGACGATCTCCAACGCGGCGGAGATGCGAAACTCTCCTGAACAAAAGAAGTAAATTATCGGAGAGCCTGGCTAGGCTTGAGAGGTCAGAGGCGCTGAGCCGCCACTGCTGAGAGCCTGGGTTCGAGTCCGGGTTTCAGCCGCAAAGCGACAGTGACCGTGTGTGTGTGTGTGCGTCTGGGTGTGTGTGCAACCGGTCGTCGTGTTGGCCACCCTCCCCCTCGTGTGTCATGCCGGCTTTCATAAGTGCTCGCTAACAGCTCTTGCTAGTGAAGAGATGGAGTGATGTGGTACAGGAGGACGTGGAGCTGAGTGGACCTGCCGATGACTGGTACCAGCGGTGTCAAGATCGGCCTCTGTGGAGGAGGCTCGTGAAGGACGCTACTCGGCAGTTGGAGGCAGTCGCCCTCCAGCAACAACGGAGGGCGGAGGAGCGACGCTCACAACAACGAGCGGAGCGCCGGGCGGCTGAAGCACAGCAGGTTGTCACAGTAAGGGGGCACAGGTGGTGCACCAGCCAGTGATCTCAGTCAGTCGACCCGTGGCACCTGCTGGGTCTGCCCCGTGACCTCCTGCCAGCGGGCGTTCGACACTTCACGTGGCCTCAGGGTGCCCATAGCCTGACACAAGCGTCGTGGTGACGTCACCCCCACTTAGTGGCGAATGGCGGTTGTTGTTGTTGTTGTTCTAGTTGTGTGTGTGTGTGTGCGCCACTCACGCCGTGGAGCTTGCTGTAGAGGCCGCAGGCGTTGCACACAGGGTCCCCGTCAGTGTTCCTCCTCCACAGCGTCGTGGTGCTCGTCTGGCAGTTGGAGCACGAGAGGCCGACGCGGCGCGAGCCGGACTGCTGCTCACCGGGACGATTCGCGAGACGTGGGGGACATGCGGGGGGAGGGGGGACACGAGGGGGACATGCCGGGGGACACATGGAGACACGGAAATACAATTAATGATGAACGTTTACTCTTGATATTATTATTATTATTATCATGATGCCACGTGGAGAAAACCCCACGCATTGCGCGAGAGGGGGCAACTACTCCATCCCCCGTAAAGATGGAGACAGATGGCGATTAGTCCACACTTTTCTGCACTGCCTTCTCCTGGCGAACCAGGGGGTACGGCACGTCCTCGACAGCCAGAAGTGAAGGGAGTTTCACAACAACATCTTGAGCGGTGAGCCACCAAACCTTCGCTGCTGCCTCCACAAATCGCGGAATCACAACAGGCAGCCACGTGCAGCGTAGCTACCGGAAGGGCCTCCGCTACAGGGAGATTGAGAGGGTATTTGTATTTGGCCTACTCTTCCATGCTCAATCACACCCCCCCCCCCCCAGCTGCCTCCTGAGTGACCCACCAGTCATCAGTCAACTCCTTCTCTACCTCCTTCCGGCGCTGAGATCCCAACTCTTGCGATCAGATTCACAGAGTATTGGTGGAACAGACAATCGTCTGGTGGGCGATGCATTCACATCCCACCGGTGGCCGACGAACCTCCGAGTGAAGACATCGGCCAGAATTTTGCCAGCGGAGAGGAAAAAAACGATTTTGATTTGGGACTATATTCTTAGCTCTTTCGGTAAAGTCCCTTCAACGTGACTTTACCGAAAGAGCTAAGAATATGAATTACTGCAGTCACGAATGCGATTGACTATTTTTATTTCACCAGGTAAGGCCTCACTGAGACGGAAGCGACCTGGGTCATCGCAAATGATAGCCAAGCAAAGTGGCTTATCATCACGTGGGAACTTAAAGCGGCAGCCAAAATACTCTCAACGCATTGCGATTCGCAGCCCGCCGCAAACCGCCTGCGTCCACCCAGCAGCTGTGTAGGCTGGGGTCGTGGCGGTTAGTTGTCGTCAGCGGATCGTGCAAGCGGTGGGATAAAGTGCGGGTTAAGTAACGTCGTGGAAGAGTAGGCCATACGTACGAGTCTAATAAGACGGGCTGTCTCCCTCCCTCTCTCTCTCTCCAGCCAGCGGCGTGATTGCGAGGACATTGCAGGACTGTGCTTTTTTTTTACCCAGTCCTGGGAATCCATCACCAGCACCTCCTCCCCCTCCCCCCTTGTCTCTATCTCAATGCTGGCGAGCGTGATAGTTCAATAAAAAAAAATATTATCATAATAATAACCGTCAAATATATCGCAATGCAGCCTCCATCATCCATCTGTCCGCCCCGCCGTCTTGCGCAACAGAAAACACGGCGATTTCATTATTATTTTGTTTAAGCGGTGGAGAATATATGTGTGTGTGTGTATTCGTGGGGCGTCGTATGAATAGCGCTGCGGGTCTCTCTCTCTCTCTCGCCTCGGGGCCGGCCCTGAATTACGGGTGTTGATCTTGAGCCTTATGAATGTGTTAAAACACTTCACATTCCACAAAGAACTACTTAACTGGAGGCCCCGGACGAAGAGAAATAAATAGCGGCTTTATAGATGGGACGGGGCCGCCCTGTGTGCCATCGCCAAACCGCGAGCCAGCTCCTGCCCCCCCTCAACCCCATTCTCACCCCCCCTACCCCCCCCTCTCCCCCCACCCCTTCGCCACCCTGTCCGAGATATGTGGGGGTATTTTGGGGGGGGGCGATCTAAGCCCCCCTCTACCCCCCCACTTCCCTACCCCCACCATCACCACCCCCCCCCCTCACGACTCCCACCCCTCGTAAGCCGTGTGCTATAACTGATGGCCACTGCCACGAGCGTTCGCTCGCACAGCTCCGCACTGCGTTACAAACGTCGCACCTCTTGGCTTTACTCGGCACCATGTCCGACGTTCCGCTCCGTGTGGCCGAGCGAGAGCTGCGGCAGGAGGGGTGGTGGCGGTGGTAGCGCCGGTGGTGGTCGACTCAACCTCAAATGAGTACCCGGTGCGGTGTGCAAACATCGCCACTGGCCACCGACCCCCTCGTGGGCAGTGCCGGACCTTCATAGTTGCTTGCTCATGGCACTTGCCCCAACAGTCTGTTAAGGCTATACGGGTGATCGTTGTCTTTGGTAGCGGTGTGGTGGTAGCGATGGCAGTAGCGGTGATAGTGGTGGTAGCGGTGATAGTGGTGGTAGCGGTAGCGATGATAGTGGTGGTAGCGGTAGCGGTGATAGTGGTGGTAGCGGTGATAGTGGTGGTAGTGGTGATAGTGGTGGTAGCGGTAGCGATGATAGTGGTGGTAGCGGTAGCGGTGATAGTGGTGGTAGCGGTGATAGTGGTGGAAGCGGTAGCGGTGATAGTGGTGGTAGCGGTGATAGTGGTAGCGGTGATAGTGGTGGTAGCGGTGATAGTGGTGGTAGCGGTGATAGTGGTGGTAGCGGTAGCGGTGATAGCGGTGGTAGCGGTAGCGGTGATAGTGGTAGCGGTGATAGTGGTGGTAGCGGTGATAGTGGTGGTAGCGGTGATAGTGGTGGTAGCGGTGATAGTGGTGGTAGCGGTAGCGATGATAGTGGTGGTAGCGGTGATAGTGGTGGTAGCGGTGATAGTGGTAGCGGTGATAGTGGTGGTAGCTGTGATAGTGATGGTAGCGGTGATAGTGGTGGTAGCGGTGATAGTGGTGGTAGCGGTGATAGTGGTGGAAGCGGTAGCGGTGATAGTGGTGGTAGCGGTGATAGTGGTAGCGGTGATAGTGGTGGTAGCGGTGATAGTGGTGGAAGCGGTAGCGGTGATAGTGGTGGTAGCGGTGATAGTGGTGGTAGCGGTGATAGTGGTGGTAGCGGTGATAGTGGTGGTAGCGGTGGTAGCGGTAGCGGTGATAGTGGTGGTAGCGGTAGTGGCTGTGTGGGTCACCATGCGCCGTGGAGGCTTGATGAGGGGCCGGTTGATGCCGTTCATCTTGTGGTAGAGGCCGCACGCGTTGCACAGGTAGTGTCCCGTGCCGTCACGTCGCCACAGCGGTGTAGACATGGCGCCACAGTTCACACACTCGCGGCCCTCCATGAAGTCATCCATCAGCTCTGCGTGGTGGCGGTGGTGGTTGTGGAACGGTGGTGGTGGTGGTAGTTTGGAGATGGGGTGGAGGTGGTGGTGGTATGGTGGTGGTGATGTTAGGGTGTCGTGGTGGTTGTGGAGTGGCGGTGTTGGTAGTTTTGAGATGCGTTAGAGGTGGCGGTATGTTGGTGGTGGTCGTGATGTTATGGTGATGGTGTGATGGTGGTAGTGGTGGTAGTGGTGATTTGGCGATGGGGTGGTGGTGATTGGGAAGATGGCGCAGGAGAGAGGGAAGAGATTTATCATTCATAGAGCAGGTTGGTAATTACAGAAGAATTTCCCATTCTTCTTAGCCAGAAGTTCCACCATCATACAGAGCCATGAACTCATATACTGTACACTTACATAGAGATCCATAGGTTTAAATACAAACCAAAAAATGGATATACACTTACATAAAGACCCAAATGCTTACACAGATACATATAGACTCGCATATACTTATAAAGAGACCAATAGATTCACACTGGCATATATACTCCTACGCCTACATACAGTTCCATAGACTCAAATAGACTTACAGTAGGGGCCGTCCATAAATGACGTCATGCGATTTTGGACGATTTTTGACCCCCCCCCCCTCGTCACACGTCGTCACAAAAAGTTAGACACCCCCCTCAAATATGACGTCACAAAGTTCTGCCACCCCCCCCAACATGCTTCAAATCGCTTTAAACTATTGCCATTGTAGTGCGTATTTAATGTGGCGCTGCACTCTGACTCTGATGTTGTAGGAGAAAACATTTATTAAAAAGTAGATTTAATTAAGTTGAACGTTTTGTCTATATTTATTTAAAGTTGCGCATTTTGATGTGACGTCACAATTCTCACCCCCCCCCCCCCTCGTCACACATCGTGACATACAGATCCATAGACAGATACACATAGACCCATACGCCTACATACAGATCCATATACTCACACACACTCACATATAGACCCATACGCCTACATACAGATCCATAGACTCACACACACTCATATATAGACCCATACGCCTACATACAGATCCATAGACTCACACACACTCATATATAGACCCATACGCCTACATACAGATCCATATACTCACACACTCACATATAGACCCATACGCCTACATACAGATCCATAGACTCACACACACTCACATATAGACTCATACGCATACATACAGATCCATATACTGACACACACTCACATATAGACCCATACGCCTACATACAGATCCATAGACTCACACACACTCACATATAGACTCATACGCCTACATACAGATCCATATACTCACACACACTCATATATAGACCCATACGCCTACATACAGATCCATATACTCACACACACTCACATAGAGACCCATACGTCTACATACAGATCCATAGACTCACATACACTTACACATATAGACCCATACGCCTACATACAGATCCATAGACTCACACACACTCACATATAGACCCATACGCCTACATACAGATCCATATACTCACACACACTCACATAGAGACCCATACGCCTACATACAGATCCATAGACTCACACACACTCATATATAGACCCATACGCCTACATACAGATCCATAGACTCACACACTCACAAATATACCCATACGCTTACATACAGATCCATAGACTCACACACACTCACATATCGACCCATACACCTACATACAGATCCAAAGACTCACACACACTCACATATAGACCCATACACCTACATAAAGATCCATAGACTCACACACACACTCACATATAGACCCATACGCTTACATACAGATCCATAGACTCACACACACTCACATATAGACCCATACGCTTACATACAGATCCATAGACTCACACTCACATATAGACCCATACACCTACATAAAGATCCATAGACTCACACACACTCACATATAGACCCATACGCTTACATACAGCTCCATAGACTCACACACACTCACATATAGACCCATACACCTACATCCATATCCATAGACTCACTTACACTCACATATAGGCCCATACTCCTACATACAGATCCATAGATTCACATACACTAACATATAGACCCATACGTCTACATACAGATCCATAGACTCACATACACTCACATATAAACCCATACACCTACATAAAGATCCATAGACTCACACACACTCACATATAGACCCATACGCTTACATGCAGCTCCATAGACTCACACACACTCACATATAGACCCATACACCTACATAAAGATCCATAGACTCACACACACTCACATATAGACCCATACGCTTACATACAGCTCCATAGACTCACACACACTCACATATAGACCCATACGCTTAAATACAGATCCATCGACTCACATACACTCACATATAGACCCATACGCCTACATACAGATCCATAGACTCACATACACTTACACATAGACCCATCCGCCTACATACAGATCCATAGACTCACATACACTTACATATAGACCCATACGTCTACATACAGATCCATAGACTCACATACACTCACATATAGACCAATATGCCTACATACAGATCCATACACTCACACACACTCACATAGAGACCCATATGCCTACATACAGATCCATAGACTCACACACACTCACATATAGACCCATACGCTTACATACAGATCCATAGACTCACACACACTCACATATAGACCCATACGTCTACATACAAATCCATAGACTCACACACACTCACATATAGACCCATATGCCTACATACAGATCCATAGACTCACACACACTCACATAGAGACCCATATGCCTACATACAGATCCATAGACTCACACACACTTAGACATAGACCCATACGCCTACATACAGATCCATAGACTCACATACACTCACATATAGACCCATACGTCTACATACAGATCCATAGACTCACATACACTTACATAGAGACCCATATGCCTACATACAGATCCATAGACTCACATACACTCACATATAGACCCATACGCCTACATACAGATCCATAGACTCACATACACTTACACATAGACCCATATGCCTACATACAGATCCATAGACTCACACACACTCACATAGAGACCCATACGCCTACATACAGATCCATAGACTCACACACACTCATATATAGACCCATACGCCTACATACAGATCCATAGACTCACACACACTCACATAGAGACCCATATGTCTACATACAGATCCATATACTCACATACACTTACACATATAGACCCATACGCCTACATACAGATCCATAGACTCACATACACTTACACATATAGACCCATACGCCTACATACAGATCCATAGACTCACTTACACTCACATATAGACCCATACGTCTACATACAGATCCATAGACTCACATACACTTACATAGAGACCCATACGTCTACATACAGATCCATAGACTCACATACACTTACACATAGACCCATACGTCTACATACAGATCCATAGACTCACATACACTTACATATAAACCCATACACCTACATACAGATCCATAGACTCACATACACTCACATAGAGACCCATACGTCTACATACAGATCCGTAGACTCACATAAACTCACATAGAGACCCATACGTCTACATACAGATCCATAGACTCACATACACTCACACATATAGACCCATACGCCTACATACAGATCCATAGACTCACATTCACTTACATATAGAGACCCATACGTCTACATACAGATCCATAGACTCACATACACTCACACATATAGACCCATACGCCTACATACAGATCCATAGACTCACATACACACACATATAGACCCATACGTCTACATACAGATCCATAGACTCACATACACTCACACATAGAGACCCATACGTCTACATACAGATCCATAGACTCACATACACTTACATATAGACCCATACACGTACATACAGATCCATAGACTCACATACACTCACATAGAGACCCATACGCCTACATATAGATCCATAGACTCACATACACTCACATAGAGACCCATACGTCTACATAGAGATCCATAGACTCACGTACACTCACACATATAGACCCATACGTCTACATACAGATCCATAGACTCACATACACTCACACATAGAGACCCATACGTTTACATACAGATCCATAGACTCACATACACTCACATATAGACCCATACACCTACATACAGATCCATAGACTCACATACACTCACACATATAGACCCATACGTCTACATACAGATCCATAGACTCACATACACTTACATAGAGACCCATACACCTACATACAGATCCATAGACTCACATACACTCACATATAGACCCATACACCTACATACAGATCCATAGACTCACATACACTCACACATATAGACCCATACACGTACATACAGATCCATAGACTCACATACACTCACATAGAGACCCATACACCTACATATAGATCCATAGACTCACATACACTTACACATATAGACCCATACGTCTACATACAGATCCATAGACTCACATACACTCACATAGAGACCCATACGTCTACATACAGATCCATAGACTCACATACACTCACACATAGAGACCCATACGCCTACATACAGATCCATAGACTCACATACACTCACACATAGAGACCCATACGTCTACATACAGATCCATAGACTCACATACACTCACATAGAGACCCATACACCTACATATAGATCCATAGACTCATGTACACTCACATAGAGACCCATACGCCTACATATAGATCCATAGACTCACATACACTCACATAGAGACCCATATGCCTACATACAGATCCATAGACTCACATACACTCACACATAGAGACCCATACGTCTACATACAGATCCATAGACTCACATACACTAACATAGAGACCCATACGTCTACATGCCTGGTGGATGTGAAGAGGCAGACGTGTGAAGAAGGCACATGTTATCTTTTAGTTTTTCTTTTTACAATGTAACAAGTTCCCTTTTACAATGCAACAAGGCATACATCACAACTTAACAGTTGTATTGCACGATTTA